GACCCCATTTCACACAAACGGCTGTCCAATCTCTTCTTGGAAACCTCCAGTGATGGAGCCCCCACAACTTCTGGAGGCCAGCAGTTCCACTGGTTAATTGTCCTCACTATTAGGACATTTCTCCTGACTTCTAGATTGCTTCTCTCCTTAATGAGTTTCCATCTGTTGCTTCTTGTCCTGCCCTCGGGGGCTTTGGAGAATAGATTGACTCCCTCCTCCCCGGATTGTTGTTGGGGGCGATATGCTGACTCTGTAAACCGCTTAGAGAGGGCTGAAAGCCCTATGAAGCGGTATATAAGTCTAACTGCTATTNGTCAACCCTGAGCCGGTGAGATTTGAACCGCTGACCTGCTGATCTAGCAGTAGCCTGCAGTGCTGCATTTAACCACTGCGCCACCTCGGCTCTCACCTCGGAACAACAGAGTCCGGTTGCCTTTGGGAGAAGCATCCTTGGCCGATGCATGGTTTCAACACGAGGCCTGTGAATGATTAACCCGGGCTTTGTGTTAGCATGTTGCATGTGGCATGATGTCATCCACAGGAGCCTTCGGTGTTCTTGGAATTCCACTTTAGTTGCAACACAATTGGGGCTCAGGTCTTTCTGGCAACCTTCTGAAAACTCCCAGAGGACCAGAGAGACCCCTCCCCAAAGAAGGAGAGCAAACGCAGTGCCCATCTTCAAGAGGAGGAAGAGGAAGAGGGCAACGATAGCTCTGTCACCTACACTAGTCCAGATCTTTGAACAGATTATTCAGCAAAATCTTATCAGAGCCTGGACAGACAGGCGACAAATAACAGAAGCCAAGATGAGGTTGTGTCAAAGAGGTTGTGTCAGGCTGAACTTTATCTCCCTCTGAAAGGGTTACAAGTTTAGGGAAATGTTCTGCGCAATGGATTTTGGCACAGCCTCCGGCTGAAGAACTTTGTTTTTCTGGCTGAATAAAATGGGAAAATATCTCCTAGACCAAGGGGAAGGGGGGGGTCTCCAAATCTGGCAGTTTTCATATTTTGTCTAAAACTTAAATTATTGTATTTTATTCTAATTTCATTTTATATTTTATTCCAATTGCATTTTAAATGGCTTTTATCAAATTTTAGTAATTATTTGTTTCTGGAACTCTGCACTTTGATATGGCCCAAGGGCCAATCAATAAAATTAATGATAACAATAATACCCCAAAATCAAGAAGAGGGGCTTTAACAAAACTTTGTGATAGGAACTCAAGACCTATATAGACTACAGAGAAACAGAATTGGAAGGGACCCTCGGAGGTCTTCTAGTCCAGCCCACTCTTCAAGCAGGAGACCCTGTTCAATTTCAGACAAGTGGCTGTCCAGTCTCTTCTTCAAAGCCTCCAGTGATGGAGCATTCACAACTTCTGGAGGCAAGTTGTTCCACTGATTAATTGTTCCCACCGTCAGGAAAATTCTCCTTAGTTTCAGGGTGGTTCTCTCCCTGATTAGTTGCCTTGATGGGCTTTGGAGAATAGGTTGATCCCCTGTTCCTTGTGAAAGCCCCTCAAAAATTGGAAGACTTCTATCACGTCAGAGCAAGAAGCAACGTATGGGAATTAATCAAGGAGAGAAGCAACTTAGAACTAAAGAGAATTTTCTCTGCAGAACTACAGAGAGAGTGAGGACAATTAACCAGTGGAATGGCTCCCCTTCAGAGGTTGTGGGTGCTTCATCACTGGAGGGGTTTAAGAAGAGGCTGGATAGCCCCTTGTCTAAAACTGTACAGGGTTTCCTGCCTGGACTAGAAGACCTCCAAGGTCCCTTCCAGAGGTGGGTTCCTACCAGTTCGCACCAGTTCGGTGGAACCGGTTCGTCGAATCTACCGAACCGGTTAGAAGAGGTT